TGTGTGTGTGTGTGTGTGTGTGTGTGTGTGTGTGTGTGTGTATATATATATATATAATCTGCAAACTGGAGAATCTTGAGGCAGGAGATGTGGCTGCAGTAATTTTCCCTGAGAATGGTCAGTGCTCATTCACTGAACTTTGTAATCCATCGTTCCTTCCACTCATCTCCCTCAACACCACAAACCATAATTTCCATTAAATTATTCTGATATCTCTTTTATCTTTCCTTCAGGACCTCACCTGTGTTTCTGATTCTAACCAAAATAAAACATGCTGGTTAGCCGTTGGATGGTTGCATGCATTGTGATTCCTATGTACAGGAGCTAGTCGACAGTTCAGTTGAGGATCAGAGATGATTTTCAACCTTTTAAAGAAAACCGATCAATACTCCATCTCCCTTCATGAGTTGGGTCATAATAGTTAGGAAGCAATGTTTAACTCAACCTGCAGTATTTTATAAAAGGAACCTCAGGGGAAGAAATGTGTGGCACGTTATCTAAAATTGTCTTGTTAGTAATTTTTTGTGTTGCGCTAAGGCCAGTTGCTACCAAACCACAGCATAAATAGAAATTGAATTAAATATTTTATAATTCTCTAAAAATGTTATGAGTTTTTGCAATGTGAATAATTTAATTCCTTAACTAAAAATATATATTAAATGTATTTAAAATCTGTCCAAGTATTTGTGAATGTATTCAAGGGAATTGTTTGTATCCCTGCCAGCTGCTAACAGCTAATGTAGTAAACATGGGCAGAAACGCCCAGCCTACAGTTGAGTATCTTTGTGTGCACAGAAACTCCTAACATTACAACATCTGTGAGCAAACACTGCTGAAAGTTGTTGGTACCGAGAGTTTGTTTCTGTGGCTTTCAGTTCTCCATGTTTGTTCACTAGTCTTGCCAGGATGTTTAACCATTTACTATCCCCATCACAAGAGACTGATTTAACTAATTTGTTTTAGTTAATTTAGCCTATATTCACAATGTGTTTTTCTCTGTCAACTCAAGTCACATTTAGCATTCAGTTAATATTTTTGGATTATAACAGACCAACTCCCATCTGGTCATAGTGTCATTTTTGTCTTGCACAACTTGCATGATTTTAAAGCAGAAAAATGTGACATTAGAACCTTTTTATGATTCAAAGTTTTCCTGGTAATAAAAAAAAAATCTAATGTGGCTATTTAAAAGTGTATTATAATATTTTGGTAATATTCATATTTTAATAATGTGACATCAAGTTAAACCAGGAAAAAATGAGCACTGAAAAATCCAAGAA